TTCGTTTTTTATAAATGCTGCTGTATAAGAACTAATTTTTTCAAGCTTTTGCGGAGAGACATTTTGTAACTAACAACGAAAACACTACAATTGTAAAGCAAATCTTACAAAGCCCCCATCCCAGGTCAAGAATTACTATCAATATGTCAAATATGTCGACTAAAAAAAATACTATATTAATTTCACATAATTGTTTTTTTTTGTTCTGTAGCTATTTCCGTTTGTTGAAGTAAGATACGGTCAAATGTAGCAAAACACCTCTCATTTTATAAGTATTTCCAAAAATAATCACTTACTTATCAGCTGTCATTCGACAATTGTCAGCTTCCATAATCTCAGTGACATATTTCGACATAGTGAAATAAGGTCCAGGTTATTACAAGTAGCTGTAAAATTTTCAGCAGTATATTTATATAAAGCTGAAAATCGGTTGCAAAAATTGTTTTTGATAACTTATTGACACAATGCATCTTAAATTTTGACTAGTACAAGAAGTAAAGTTTCTTACGGCGCTCTGAAAACGTTATAACTAATCAAGGTTAGGTTAGATCAGAACTGTGATCGAATAAACTAGCATGGTGAGACAGCAGCCATTAAGTGCCAAACACACAAGTTTAATAAAAAATTAACTCGAATATGAGAAAGTGCTGCCAAGATGAAAATGATAAAATTCTAGTTTTTCAGGAAAATGAATTGATACTTTATCATAACAATTATGATAAAGTATCAATTTGAGATTATTGTCTGTCAAAGTAGGTAAATTTAGGTGTGACAAAAAATCGTAACACTTAATCGCATAGGAGCTCGATAGCGCAGGTTAGGAGCTAGTTCGGCCTGCGATCGTGGAAGTTAAGTAACTTTTGCAATGATTGGTCATTGGATGGGTGACCAAAAAAATATTATCTCGAACTCCTCCGTGCTTCAAAAGACCGAAGCCGATCTGGATCTGCAGTCGTTAGCACCCACCAATCCGCACTAGGCTGGCGTGGTGGTTCATGGCCCAAACTCCCTATTACATCCATAGGGCAGGCCTGTGCCCCAGCAGTGAGGACATTAATAGGCTGATGATGAGGCATTCTATATAAAGCCCTACTATACTGGGCCCGCGTGGTGAATCACGGCCCAATCAATTTGTTCCACAGTTTTCGTATTTTGTCGTATTCGCTTGTGTAATCTTTATACACTCACGGAAATTAATCCGAAGATTTAGTCGTGATTTTTTTATTAAGATAAAGATCAGCGACACGTATAACACAAAAAGTGTAATTAGTTTATAGTCATAAACACTTATTTAATTCTCGGATCATCAAGTTATTATACTTACCATGTTTGCTTAAAGAATGGATATAATTATGTGCAATAAAAATTTATCCGCATTTTTTCCTCGTCCACGATAACAGTGTTTGAAAAAACATCAATTATATATATATTGTTTTGATTTGCAATTTTTAGATGTGGTGATTTTTAAATCTTTAGGTGCCGTCCGTAATCTTATTTGATGAAATGTCTTGTATCGCATTGGCTACACTAACTCGACAGAATCAGTCCACGTGTACTGTATAGGGTACACTAGAATTTTGACGTGCTAGGAGACATAATGCACAGTATATTTTTCTATCAAACAGTCACATACTCTCATGCCGGCAATTCACATGGGTATATGTGTTGGCTGTTTATCATTTTGACAGCAAGTTGTCCTTATCATACTCTAGAGAGTGAGAAATCATAGAGGTATAAGAATAGAGTGGGGAAGGCGGCTCTAAAAGTGTCCGTCTAGTAGAAAGAGAAAGAAGATGAGAGACGGCTAGCCTTTCTCTCTCTAATCGCGAATGTGCATTGGATGTAAAACCTACGGATGAATACCGACCAATCACACGACTGCGCAGCAATACCGACCAATCACACGAGTGCGCAGCGTCACAAGAGAGAGAGATAGCTAGCCGTCCCTCATCTTCATTCTCTTTCTACTAGACGGATACTTCCACTTGTAGCTGAGTACATATCTCTCCTTCTCTATTTTTATACCTCTATGTGAAAAATAGAGACTGCTATCAAGTTCACAAATAGCAAATACATATGCCATGACACTCATGACAGTATTGACAACTTGTCAGTTTGCTAACAATAATTGCCTACTTATCTATTGCATGCATTTTATTATTGCAAGACACTTGAAAGTTATCAGCTGGCTGCACCAACTTTTTTCCGGAAGTGCTACGTTACTCAAATCCGGTTTGTAGTCTTATCGGACTATTCTTAACTTATAACTTAATATTCTCTTTATCTATCTCTTACGGTTTGGCCGCTGAAACAGCACCACAGACGGACGGACTTGTCTAATAGATAAGAGATAAAATAATTTGAGACAATAACTACCATTTTATGTGTATATGACAGCGCTGCAAACGACACTCTTTCTTCCTAATGCCGGCACTTCACTTGCCACTCCACTTGGCTATTCGTGTTTGCTATTTGAAAACTTGCCATCAGTCTGTCCTGTTTATTCCTTATTAAGCATGACAAGGACATATATTATACTGTATACTCTGTGGTTTTGGTGCAGGCAGTTTGCATTCCTAGTAATATATGATACACTTTCACGCTGCATATTTACACAATATACATATTGTGATATACAAATAAATGCAATATACAATATGATACAACTATATGAAAAATAGTCAATAAATAAGAAGCAAAACTACAGTTTTTATTTTATTCATGATTCCTACATAACCAAGTTTTTCCTAATAGTTATTATTTAAAATCGCACCAAATAAAAATGAATTAGTGGGAATATTAATTCACTTCATACTGAGTTCATATTAAGTTCATAGGACCTATGTTTCATGTAATATTAAACATAACCTCAAAAAATATTTAGTTTGCGTGATAATTTAAATTCTCAGAAGTGTCCGTCAATAATCTTTGTTTTTACAGTCATTGACTTGCAATTTCGAACCTAGAAAATAATATTTCATGATTGTTGGTTCTTAGGCTAACAATGAATGGACGCAGAACAATGTCCTTTATAAATTGAAAACTATGCCAAAAGCTCAGTGTAGGTATGTCATTCAGTTTTATACAGCTCCTGTAAAATTTAATTTTATGTAATTATACCGTTTTGTTCGCCAGCTCCTCATATGAGATTCGACATTTATAATACTACAATGATATCTGAACAATATGTTCCACACCATTGACGTCATACAAGATTCAACTAGACGAATTAGTTTTTATAGCTTTTGTATGTATATTTATCATTATAAAAGATCCTTCTTTTGTTGGAATTCCAAATGATACTTTATTAGCTAGTCAACTGTACTATTCTCCAACGAAATTCAACGTTGGAATTCGGCGACGAGAATATTTAATATTTAATAATATGCTGTATTTGGTTTATTCTAAGACTACATTACAAGTACTAACTAAATACTCCACTACTCTAAATCTAAATAGAATTCCACTCGGTTACAATCTAAATGAAGTTCCATCTGAAACCATTACTAGTAAATTTTTCTTTACATTCAAATATCTAGACGATAAATGCTTTAAAGAGGAGCTCGATGGCGCAAGTGGTTAGTGCGTTCGGCTGCGATCGTTGAAGCTAAGCAACTTTCGCAGTGGTCGGTCATTGGATGGGTGACCAAAAAATTTACTATCTCGAGCTCCTCCATACTTCGGAAGGCACGTTAAGCCGTTCATCCCGGCTGCATCTGCAGTCGTTAGCACCCGCCAATCCGAACTGGGCCCGCGTGGTGGGTCATGGCCTTATCTCCCTATTCCATTCATAGGGAAGGCCTGTGCCCCAGCAGTGGGGACATTAATAGGCTGATGATGAAATGCTTTAAATAGAAATACAACAAGCTTCACTTGTCTCTTAAGATAAACCCAAGATAACCAAGTAAGTGGAATTGGAGAATGTCTTTGTAAATACATACTCTTTCTATATCATCGCAGACTTTCAAACTTATATTTAACTAAATTTTATAAGTGTTGAATGGGTTTCTCTAAAATAAATATATATCACACAGACTGTATTTGAAAGATATCTCAGCGTTGCAATCTAGGATGTTCGCTCATAGAATAGTGCTACTGTTTTTGTGTTGGTTTTAATATTGAATTTGGTTTGGTATTTGAATATAATGTGCCTCGCCTAGTTTTTATGCGACTTTACATGTTTTTTACAATGACGTTCGCATGATGTGATTTACCCTGTGTTTTCCCTATTCTCTGATGCCAATTATGGCTTATTTGATAATTAGGTTCGAACACAAAAAAAAACTATTAATTCAATTTAAAAATTTAGAAACGGAACAATAGGCAAGCCATTCTGATCTGATCATAAATTTATCTTTTGATGATAATGATCAAGATATATAGAAAATCTAGTTACATATCTAACTCGGTTTTATAGCGTCTTTATTATGAAATGTACAATCAAATAATACATAACTACCAACTTTTTCATGATCGCATGTACTCATCATTATTATAATCAGCCTATTAATGTTCCCACCGCAGGGGCATAGGCCATACCAATGGTATAGGGAGACTGGGTCGTGACCCACCACGTGGGCCGAGTGCGGATAGGTGGGCACTAACGACTGCAGACGCAGATGGGACCACGTGCCGCTTAGCACAGAGGAGTTCGAGATAATAAGTTTTGATCACCCATGACCGACCACTGCGAAAGTTGCTTAACTTCCAGGATCGCAGGCCGAATGCACTAACGACCTGCGTTATCGAACTCCTCCACCATCATCAGCCTATTAATGTCTCAACTGCTGGGGCCTTATGTGCTGAATTTCGTGATAGTCTACTCATACATAATTGTCGTAAAATGTGGTAGTTTTCAATAAAGTTACAGCAGCACATCTATTTTTTTTTGAGTAATATATTTGCAGGACCAGGTGTGTGTCAAAGAAAAAAAAATTGACAAGTAAAGATTTTTAAGATATGTATATTACTTTTAACTTATGAAATTTGTTTCGTTACAGGAATCCAAGGAATGAACACGCAAACGGAGACATACATGGAAACAGAAACATATTCAACAATAACAGATTACACTGAAATGACAACTGAAGAAAGCGTCACTTTAAATAACCAACCAAGGCAAGCTAGAACGGACAATTCCAGCCTTGATGACGTCACTGTAGACACCAGTGAAGAAAACACATCACAACAACAAGTACAAAACGTGGTACAAGAGAAATTAAACACTGGAAAACTTGAAAGCGCGTCTAGAGTTTTGTTACCTTCTGTGGATGATAAACCGTTCAGTGATACAAAAAGAGAAATTATAGATAACACACTAATTAAACGTAAACCAGCCAACAAATTGAATAGTGATGTAATCAATAAAATAGTTAAAAAAGCAGATAAAAGAGCAGATTTGAAATCTCATACGAGATACGATGAAGTTACCGGCGAATTAGTTGGTGGTGAACACCCTTGTCATAGAGAATGTAGGGAGGGTGAAGAACCTATGATATGTTATTACCATTTTAATTTGGAGTGGTATCATACTATGAGTAAGGCGTGCTTCAATTGTCCTTACAATGAGACGGATTGTTCAAGACCGGATTGCATACCGGCTGATGGTATGAGTCGAGCTTTAAACGTGGTTAATAGGAAGATGCCTGGTCCTGCTATAGAGGTAAGTCTGGATGATCTTTTACATACTTCCGTTTTATGTCACGTATCTATATATATAAAACTCAAAGGTGATCCATCAACGCGCAGCCCAAACAACTGGACGGATCAGGCTGAAATTTGGCATGCAGGTAGATGTTATGACGTAGGTATCCGCTAAGGAAGGATTTTGATCAATTCTACCCTCAAGGGGATAAAATAGGGAATGAAACTTTGTCAATTTTAAACCGATCGGGCTGAGACTTTGCATGCAGGTATAAGAAGAATCATAGATGAATGTCATTGTGTATAATAGAAGCCTGAAAACAAAAACTGTAGTCTACACTTCAGCTCTACACCGAAGCGAAGCGAGGGCGGGCCGCTAGTCTTTTATAGAATACGACAAAGTGCTTGGTTGGTGTCCAGTTTATAAAAAAGCTAGAAACTATGTAGTAGGTGTCCTTAATTCCCTCGCAATTCTTTTGTAGTGTAGCCAAATTCAATTGCAGTATTTTAAAGATTTGAGTGCTTTAGAACACTATCTCACCTGATGGTAAGCAATAATAATGTAGTGTAAGCTGGAGCGCTTAGACTCAAATAATCCCTATTTATTCCGGCCATAAAGATCCCTATATTAAATGTAAAGGAAATAATGACGCAGGAAGGGAATTCTATTCGCTAGCGGTTCGCATAATGAAGAAGTATAGGAATCGTACAGTACGCAGGGGAGGAATATCAACCGTGTATGGATTCAGTCCTTGTCTACGTCTCATCGTGCGATGGTAAAAAGGTGCAGCTTGAGTGGAGGAAAACATTACCTTACTATAAAAAAATATTTTTAGTAAAAGTACGTTGTTTTGTATTATCTTCTCATTCTAAAGAAGCAACTCGCAAGCTAACGAGGTGAGAATGTCTGGTGCGGTAGGTTAAACTACTGAGATAGCTTTTTTCGCGTCTGGACTGCACCGTCACTTAACATAAGGCACTTGTTCTGACCTGTGTTTAATATCTATACCATATTTACTGCTATAAATGTATTTATATCCGATATCCTAGTGTCTCATAACACAAGCTTTACAGTGCTTTCTTTAGTGCCTGGCTAATTCGTGCGCGTTAGAAATATTTACGCATTTATTTCCTGTAGGTTTGCCAGCACGACCGGGTGATAGTGGACGTGGAAAACGACCTGATGACGGAAGCCACCACGGTACACTGGCACGGTCAGCACCAGCGGGGAACCCCCTACATGGACGGTACTCCGTACGTCACGCAGTGTCCCATACCGCCGGAAACAACCTTTAGGTAAGCACCTGATTTTGATAGCGCAATGACAACGATCGTGGGTGTTCAGTAATAGGGGTGATGACGGGGTACAGTAAATGAAATTCTATTTAGTCCGTCAGTTAGATGATCAAAAAATAATGGACACGTATTTTTTTTCTGGGCAATCAACCAAAAAATGACAAAGTTATAGCGCGTCAAAGTTTGGGAGCAGGGGGTCGTGACGTCACTTAAGTGAAAATTGTACCAAAACCTGTCGTCATGCGACTTTTCAAATCAATATATCTCTGCAATGTTTATATTATGTGAAAAAAGAAAAAAATACGTGTCCAATACTTTTTGACAATCTACCTGATAAACGACGACAAAAAAATTTGTCATCATCCCTATTATAGCACCACATACCACAAGAAACTCAAGAAACTACTTTTAAGTAAGCACCTCATTTTAGTTACACCTTTAGAATTAATATATTTGTTTTGGTTGTTTAATTTTCATGAACTTTGTTTTCTATTTCTTTATATAGGTCTGTCTCTATCCATATATCAATTTCAATAAAATAAATAAGTATAAATATTTGATAACCTTTAATCTCAATTCTTTACAATCATTTAAGATAATGATACTTTCAAATTTCCGCGGTGACAATCTATTATAAACTCAAAACTTCAACTTTACTACCTACCACAGAAAAGTAAGCGAGGTGTAATTAATTTTAGTTAATTCCCGATCCAAAGTTTTGATAGCCTCAATTAATAGACTGAACTTAAGTGCGTGCTTCCACTGAGAATTCATCATGAATTAAGTTGAATGTTTAATGTTTTTAGAGAACTTCGGGTAAAATATACCTAGTTTCTTGGGCGCAGGACTTTTAGTCAGCAACACATAAATATAGACAGTTTAACCACATTAAAGTCCACTTGCACCAAAGTTCATCATTCAAATTAAGGCTTAAATCATTTCTTCGTCAATAGTATTAAAATATATATATATATATATATATTATATATAAATGTTTTGTTGTTTACATAAGAATAACATTGTGAATGCTCATAAGATCAAATAACTTACTATTATTAACACTGGGCTTTGAACAATTCAAGTCATAAAACAAGAAAGACATAAGTGACAACTACTTTTCAAGGGTGTTGAACTTAAGTATTAGTATCAAATTTGTAACTGTAATATCCGATGTTCCAAAAGGAGCAATAAGAAATACACAACTGCATGTTATTTTTACATTCTCATTTTAAGTGGACTGTATGAAATAAATTATCTTTGAACCTAAATCAAATGGAGATGGCATGAGGCTTACAAATTTGAATTAAGAAATTTGGTGCAAGTGGGCCTAAACCTGACATCTTCGTATTATCGTTACAGTAGGGGGAGCCCAAACGGGGATATTTGGATTTACTCGAGCGCGGCTAAATAACATAAGGGGGGCCACCTTACACCTTGTGAAGTACTCCCACTATACCTGTGCACTCTAAGTGGGGCCGAACGTCTAGGGCAGCAGTCTTTTGTATAGGACCTACTGGAGGATTTCGCAGAGTTCACACGTACGAAATTAAAATGTCGACGTTTTCGGAAGACGACGAATAAAAAATAATTAACTTTTTTATCCAGTCCAAATTACCGCAATAATTTGCTTGGAAATGCAACCTCTGCAGTCCATCGCGGACTTGTTCCTTTGTGATATAAATGTACGAAATGTTCACATACACTTTTCCGTCGGTTCCTTTTCAGATATCAGTTCAATGCCAGCCACGCCGGCACACACTTCTGGCACTCCCATTCCGGGATGCAGCGCGCTGACGGCGCGGCCGGCGCCTTCGTCGTGAGGAAACCGAAGTCCCAAGACCCGCATGGCGCTCTATATGACTACGATAGGTAATGGCATCTTCAACTCACTCAATCAAATCGAAATCATAACGTGATTGTCTTGCCTCGGGATAATCTCCCGAACGTGCGAGGTCAACTGTCCATACACTAGATTACGCTTCTTTGTAGTGTAGCTTTCATCTATTAGTAGCCTAGCTTAAAAACACGTCGCGTATGCTGAGACCTATAAAAAGTCTATCGTACGACTGGTTTCTGAACATACGAAGTACAATGGTTTCGAATGAAAAACTTAACTCGTTTAAAGAAAAGGAAGCAAGTATGTTATATAGCTTATCCGCTAATGTTAAATTCAACAACTTGAATCTGCTCGGGTGTCCTTTGAAGGTTTTGAGGGATAGTTAATCTCTCTAGAGCGTCCTTCACTCGCCTGTTGTACGCAAGTTTCTAATATATCAACATTCGATGAGGCAGGAATCCCGTGTAAGCCGGGTGTGGACTAAGCGTCAGCTCACACCGAAACGCGACGCGACGCTGGACGCTGCACAAAGGGACTCAAAACATATCTTTATTTACTACGTGAAAAGATACACATTTCATTGTTTGAATTCAGAATACATTGCACCAGGCGTAACATGAATTTAAACCATGAAATGTGTATCTTTTCGAGTAGTAAATAAAGTTATGTTTTGAGTCGCTCTGTGCAGCGTCGCGTCGCATTTCGGTGTGAGCTGACGCTTAGCGGAAGTGTGATTTGTTGCTGAAAAGGACCGCCACGTAAGGAAAGCTGTAAAAGATACGCATACATTTTATACATCTACCTCTATGGTTTAGTAAGTAGTTTGATAAGTTCAGGGTTTGAATACAGGAAGGGCATATATTTTAACGATTAATCAACATAGATAGAGCAACATAATAGATAGAACTAAACGGCTGGAGCGAATTAAATAAAATTTGGTATGGAGTTAGCTGACACTTGATTAACATATAGGCTACGTTTTACTGCGGGAAAATATTTCTAATAATAATAATAAATAATAATAATAAATGTTTATTTCAGGCACAGTAACCCATATTAAAAATTACGATAACAATTGCATTTTGTCCCATTTTATCTTAAAATTAAATCGTTGTATCACAACTCGTCAATTATTCAAACTAAATTCAAACAATAACAATAATATTAATAAAAATAAATAAAATATAATCATTACTGAATTTTAAATAAATAATCAAAACTATATGACATAGTTTTACACATTAGATTAAAAACTAATAAACCACGCGTAGCACCGCGGGGCACAGCTAGTGTATAATATAAGTTTTTCGGTTTCCACAGCACAAGTTCTGTTAAGGCGCCTTGCTTAATGGATCGATGCGGTATCGTTTCGCTTTCGTTTCTTTACTTTTAGCATAAACCAATATAGAATTCGAATAGTTTGCGAGTATGTAGTAGTATGTTGTCGCCAGTATTATATATAATATAATACTGGCGACAACATATTCCACAGTTTTGTCGTACGTGGTAAAAAAATTTCGACAAAAACGCACGGTTGTGGATAGCCACGCATCAAGATGATGGTTGTGGGCTGGGACACATAGTAGAAGAGGAATCTGAGGAAAGGTAAAAAAAGCAAAGCAAAGTGTAGTGTTATTTTACTATGGTAATGAGGTGAAACTTCTGTTCATCAAAGTGAAAAGTTTGCCCTACAGCGCCCTTTTACTGATTTTAATAAAAACAGCTACGAAACTTTAAAAATGTTTATACATTTTTGAAAAGCTTTTAAAACTGGTTAGCAATTTTACTAATTTGTACGCCAAATAAGTTACAGTTATTTCCCATTAGTTTATACGGTGAAGTTCGGGAAAAATACAAAAAATATAAGTAATTATTACTTTTGTTCCTGAGATTGTGTAATTTTTGGGGTTCTTTGAACTGTAATCGAAATGATCACTAACTTTTCAGCTTTAAGAAAAGTATCAATTCAATGTTCAGAGTGGAGTAGTTTATTTACAATTAATAGTTTTTGGCAGCAAGTCAGAAAAATTCAAAGAAATTCAAATTTAGGAACCGTCACAATTCTATAACCGTCCAGTTTTTACCTCTAGTTCATTGGATTTGATTTGTGGCTAATGATGTCTTGTATAATAATACCTTTCCTCAGATTCCTCCTTACTATGTGTCCCAGCCCACAACACAATTCTTTTTTTTTTAATGTCATTTAAATCACTTTGTTTTATCCTTGTTTTGCTATCGAAAGAAATTGTGAGCAATTTTAATGAAATTAAACTAGGTATAAAAGTTATTGATGTGTCTGTGTGCAGCCATCAGCAAACATTAGCAAACTAAGTTTGGACTGTTTCATTATAATATTGATATTGATTCACTAACTAAGCAAGTTTCTAGTGGAGTGGCCCTGAATAAAGTTGCGAGTTTTGCCTTTCAATCTCGACAACTTAAGGTTTTCATTTCACAGTAATCTGAAATAATGACTTGACTCAACTTGACTTGACTTTGGAGACTCATCATGGAGGAGCTCGTTTTCGCAAGTGGTTAACGCGTTCGGCTGCGATCGTTGAAGTTAAGAAACTTTCGCAGTGGTCGGTCATGGGATGGGTGACCAAAAATGTATTTATTATTATCTCGAGTTCCTCCGTGCTTTGGAAGGCACGTTAAGCCGTTGGTTCCGGCTGCATCTGCAGTCCCTAGCAGCCAGCAATCGGCATTGGGCCCTTAGGTCATGCATGCTCCAATCCCCCTATTCCATCCACAGTAAAGGTCTGTACCCCACCAGTGGGAACATTAATAGGCTGGTGATGATGATGAGTTGACACAAATTTGACTGTATTCGGAAACAATCTAAGTATAAGATTTTATTTTACTTAAGAGTGATGTATCTTGGCTTCTTTGCTTTCCTTTAGTTTTTTCCTGCAGAGGCATTACATTAGGGTAGGGTATTGGGCCAGGGTAGGAAATGATGCGAGTGATAATTTTTGTATCCTTGTCTAAAGGCTATGGGCCATGTGCTTGTTGCCACATAAAATAAATAAATTCTCTTGTCCTCCAGGTCTGAGCACACGATGATCGTGACGGACTGGATCCACGAGTTATCCGTCTCCATGTTCACTGATCACCACCACTCGTCGGGGGACAACAAACCGCCCAACTTGTTGATCAACGGAGTCGGACGGTTCAAGTACTTCAACGACAGCGCCAAGCCTATATACATGAAGGCAGCAAGGTTTAATGTTGAACAGGTTAGTGTTGGTATTGAATGTCAGTGAAGCGAAAGATTTGTGTAAGGACCACAGAACACAGAGAGAGTTAAAAGGGCCTTGTGGGCGGGGCAGGCGCGCCACAGTTATGTGAGCATAGGCCGTATACAGAAAGAAAGCCGAAAGCCGATCCTTTTTCTATGGACCAGCGCCGATAAGCGCCGACAAATGCCGACACGCGCTGGTCAGCTGGTATGATCTATGTTGCCCGAATAATAAATGATTTGTACTTGAATTATTATCCTTAGATTAAATCAATCTAAGTTATATTTTTTTTATAAATCTAATAACTTTCTCTTTTATTAACTAAGCGCTAAAATTATTTGTTTCGTACTTACCGAAGGTGACAACAAGTCTTTCTTCCGGAAGGATTGGTTATTTATGCCAATTACACCAATTTTTCATCAAACGGTTTTTCACTAAATCCAAAATGTAATAAAATGTTTCTTGAGTCATTCTTGTATATGTATAAAATCTTTGATCATCAAATTTCATCTAAAGAAAATATAACTAGAAAAAATTCCACGCGGACCAGGCAGCAGACGGGACTCGAACCCGCACCCTTCGCAATCCGGGCGAATGCACTGACCAATTATGCTACCGCGGCCCTCACGGACCGCGTCGAAATTCTTTCTAGCTATTCTTAAGCTGCAAGGCAGCGCCATCTCTTCGCATTATAGGTAAACCCACAATGTCAAATGAATACTTTTACAAGTATTAAACATTTGAAAGAAGAAATAGCAATTATAGTTATAATTTTTTATAATTTTTTATAATTGTGGGTTTACCTATAATGCGAAGAGATGGCGCTGCCTTGCAGCTTAAGAATAGCTAGAAAGAATTTCGACGCGGTCCGTGAGGGCCGCGGTAGCATAATTGGTCAGTGCATTCGCCCGGATTGCGAAGGGTGCGGGTTCGAGTCCCGTCTGCTGCCTGGTCCGCGTGGAATTTTTTCTAGTTATATTTTCTTTAGATTTAAACATCAAGCAGTTACATGCTTTAAAAATAATAAAAATTATAACTATAATTGCTATTTCTTCTTTCAAATGTTTAATACTTGTAAAAGTATTCATTTGACATTGTGGGTTTACCTATAATGCGAAGAGATGGCGCTGCCTTGCAGCTTAAGAATAGCTAGAAAGAATTTCGACGCGGTCCGTGAGGGCCGCGGTAGCATAATTGGTCAGTGCATTCGCCCGGATTGCGAAGGGTGCGGGTTCGAGTCCCGTCTGCTGCCTGGTCCGCGTGGAATTTTTTCTAGTTATATTTTCTTTAGATTTAAACATCAAGCAGTTACATGCTTTAAAAATAATAAAAATTATAATCAAATTTCATTTTTTTTTACAAATAAATGATGGTATTCTCCGAAATGTTTCCTTTCTCTATTTATAGGATGTATAGCTTTTTTTCGCTTTTTATATACACTTTTCTAACAAAACCAAATCATCGTCCGGTGAGTCCGACATTTTGCTTGCTCTGCTTTAATCGGCTTCCTTTATGTAGTAAGGATCAGCGCCGATAAGCGCCGATCGGTTTTCGGCTTTCTTTCTGTATACGGCCATACTCATAACTTGACCAAAACTTGGTTCTGATTGCGTCGCTGCTCTCGGGTGTGAGCGCTGATTGGTTCAATTATTTGATGTCGCGTCATTTGATTGGCTATTATCTATTAGGTGGAAGTGTAGTGGGGGCGAGTCGGCGATATCGGTTCCCTTTCAAATGGTTAATGATCAACCTTCTAAACACTTTCTGTGTTCTGTGGTACGGACCATACCTTATGGCGCTCTATTCTCTCTCTGCCTACGCCATACGAGATAGGCGTAAGGCACTTCTTCCACCTCTGACGATTAACGAATGGAAAGCTAGAAACTAGGAACAAGTTGACGACCAGCGGGAAGCGAATGTGTAGTTCCGATGGTTTTATCGCTGGGCTATAGGCGAGTATGACATAAAATGAAATGAAACAATCTTAATTGGCCATCATAAAAATAGCATGTGACAAAATTAAAAGACTTACTGATGATCTATAGACGGCCAACCAGGACCATATTTCAGCATAAGCTGAGTGTCAGAAAAGAAAATACTTCTCTCATTGTGTCAGCGCTGGGATTATGGTAGGGCATGTGCGAGGTCGCTTTGATGGTGCGTAAAAATATTTTAATACAAGTAAATCCGAAAAACTAAACACTAAACAACCCACATTACCATAGAGTATGTAGGTATGTTCATTTAATATGACGAGAATTATAATTACTTGTGTACTTTTAAATAATTTAAAATATTTATTCGTAAATATGTCTATAATATAATGTAAATAAATCTTTTCTTTTGTTTACACGGTATGTGTAACTATTGTAAGTATCTTGAGCAAGAAAATAGCCGACAGTTAGTCGCTCGCTTCCTTGCCGGCAATGGGATAACTGCTTAAAAATCATTAGGTTACTATGTTAGCATTATAATAATAATTCATTTATTTCAACCATAAAGATCATAGCATGCCAATGTCAAAATAATAATAAATAGTAATATTTAAGATACATAAAAACAAATTAAATTACATTTCCACATACAAAATTACATTTAAAACAAAAATTCAATTAAATTCAATCGGTTTCACACCTATTAACAGTTTCAAAAATTCTACAAATACAATGTCAAAATTTAAAATGATAAAATAAAAATTAAATGTCCAAATTTAAAAAGGTAAAATAAAAATTAAATTACTTTAATTATTAATTACATCCCCAGCTGCAGGCGCAGCGGCGGCCTCTGCCGAGTGCTCCAAGCGGCGCAAATATTCAGCTCTTATTGAGAACTACATATTTGTGCCGTTTGGTGTTGAGACTATGGGCCCATCGGGTCCAAACGCTCGTTCCCTTTTTAAGGAATTGTCAAAGAGGCTCACCGAAGTGACTGGTGATCAAAAGGCTGGCAGCTATCTTGGTCAACGGATCAGCCTTGCCATCCAACGAGGCAATGCTGCCAGCCTATTGGGCACCATTCCTGATGGCGGCGCTGGGGGTGATATGTTTTTTATTTTGTAAATTATTTATTTATGTAGGTAAGTAGGTTAAGCTATGTAGTTTTACGTTTGTGTTATTAAATAAATTAACTATAAATTTAAATGTCAAAATTTAAAATGGCAATTAGTTATAGTAATCGTAAAAAAATTAAGAACAGTTAGTTAGATAAAACTAGTTTTTACGGGTTACTCATTAAATAAAACTAGTAAAAACTAGTTTTATTTAATGTAAACTAGTAAAAACTAGTTTTATTTAATAAGTGATGTGCGTGAAAACCTAAGAAACAAACAGTTAGTTAGGTTTACATACGCGGGAATGTAAACAGCTGGTTAGTTATAACTTTTTCTTTTCCAGCTTAATGTATAAGTGTCGCCGCACACGGGCCACCGACCACAACCACAAACGCCATTCGTCTTATAGTTTTCATACATTTTATATGGACTCACCACACACGGTACCTGTGGCCGCCATACGCTACAAATCGTCGTTGCTCGCCGCCACACTACACTCGCGCGATTCCCCACCCCTCTCTCCCTTACCTTAGACGGCCGCTGTCGCGCGCTTCAGCCACTTTAGTAGCCGCTTCTAGCTTCTCGTGGCGGCGTTTGTGGCTGTGGCGTGTGGCCCGTGTGCGACGACACTAAGTATAAGTTCCTAAATCAAATGTAAGTAACTCTATGGAACCTAGTTCCGAAATAAGAGATTTGAATTGAATTAACAAAAGCTGAATAACCTACATATTATTTAAGAATTACGACAATGGAACCTAACAGCACTGGAAAATTCTTTTTTTTTTGTTTTTCGTAGAGAATGCAAACACACTTACGAGCATACGGCTAAACTTTAAAAGAGGTTGGTCTCTTCCAATCCCTAGTCGATGTATCGTAAGTAAACTTCGTCGAGTCGTGTCTTATTCAATGACGGACTCTGTAAGTAAGAGAAGGACAGAAAATAATAATCCTTACGATATATCGAAAGTCAACTTTAAGAGTATAGACTCAAAGATGCCGGGTCCAGTCGATGGACAGGGACATATTTTCACAGTAAAGTAGTTTGCTAGGAGAAAAAATAATCAGTTAAGTGTGGGATTCGATCAAGATTATTCTTGGATATACGCGATGAAAGTATTATCTGTGCTGTGTATGTTTTTGGGAGGAGTTGGGGGCTTGGGTTAGGGTAAAAAAAAAGATCCAGTGCCATTTACATTTAGATTCATTGTTGTAATCCTTAAAAAATAAGTAGGTGTTTCGGCTTTTGTTGTGCTGGAAAAGAAAAAGAACTTACCAGTACTTACTTAACTAACTTTTGTTAACTCAACCCTTAACCTATAGATTTTTAAGCAGTTATCCCACTGACAGCGAGGAAGCGACTAACTGTCGGCTATTTTCTCGCTCAAGAAATGTACCATAGATATACATACCGTGAAAACATAAGAATTATTTATTAACATTATATAGACATATTTACGTATATGTATAAATATTTTTAATTATAAGTTTAACTAATAGGGGTGATGACGGGGTACAGTAAACGAAATTCTATTTAGTCCGTCAATTAGATGATCAAAAAATAATGGACACGTATTTTTCTTTGGGCTATCAACCAAAAAATGACAAAGTTATAGCGCGTCAAAGTTTGGGAGTAGGGGCTCGTGACGTCACTTTTGAGTGAATTTTCACTTATAAGTGTATTCAAACGTGACGTCATGCGACTTTTCAAATCAATATATCTCTGCAATGTTTATATTATGTGAAAAAAGAAAAAATACGTGTCCAAACTTTTTGATAATTTACCTGATAAACGAAGAAATCCCTATTATAATGTTCATCCTATTAATATAATTATATAAATTTCACCACGAAGGCGGAGGGGATCGCAGAATACTTGCGTACGAACACCAATTTCTCCCTGAGGATCGCGCGGTTGGAGTCTCGCCACAACGTGAATTTTAATTCATTT